CCACCCTGCCACCCCCCGCCCCTGCTCCAGCCCGCCTGGTGCCCGCCGCCCTCGGGCCTCCGCCGGGCCGCCGGCAGCCCCCAGTCGGCGTTGACTCGCTGGGCCGCCAGGCTGTGTCCGCCCCGCGCCGCCCTCGCCCGCCGCCCCCGCTCGCGCCCGCCCCCCGCGCGTGCAGCCCCGCAGGGCCCCCAGGACGACATGTGAGCCCTGCCGCCGCCAGGTCGCCGCCCTGGTGCCGGGGCCCGGAGCCCGCCTCGCACGCCATGGAGACCGCGCTCGCGCTGCTGGTGGTGATCGCCGTGCTCCTTGTGGATAACAGCGCGCAGTTTGACTTCACCAAAGCCAACTTCGAGGCGGCGTTCCAAGGTGAGGGAGGGCGGCGCAGCGCACGTTTGACCGGCCCCGACCTTTTGGATTGTTGGCTGACAGGAGAAGGTCGACGGGTCAACACCTGAAGGACCTCTGGTGGGGGCCGGGTGGACAGAGAGTGTACAGACCACCCTTCGCCGTGCAAATGTGCTCTACGTTGCTGGCGACATCGAGGGATCCACAATTTTGGATTCGCGGTTCAAGCCAAAAATAATGTTCAGTTATTATTCGCCAGTATTCACTTCGTATTCGCTTCATATTCGCCGAGTATTCTGTGTCCGCTTAAAATTCACGAGTATTCAACTTTTGAATGGATTCACTGTGTACTCACAACTTTTGAGTCGGGGACCTCTTTATGGTATGAGGCACATTTTTTTTCTGATTTTTGGCAGCTGTCTGTTTAAGAATGAAAACGAAATACTGACACACTGACATCCATCTGTGCCAAAACAAATAATATTATTACTGTGCAGGGATAGTTAAATTACGGCATTCCTTCCTCTCCATTCCTCTTCATTTACTGGAGAATGGCAAAGCTAAGAAAGGTGCGAAATGATTTACTGGAGAATGGCAAAGCTAAGAAAGGTGCGAAATGATGTTTCGGTAATTCTCATTATTAGAACTATGAAATTTTATCCTCGACAGGATAGAAGAGGAATGACAATGATCGAAAACCATTTTTTTTTACAATCCGTGCACTGGAAACGGGAACGCTTTTTATTCGCTCGGTTCCTCGATGAGTCCTCAGTTCTGCTGTAAGGAACGCGCGCAACAGAGCGGTTGAGGCCGTCCGTCCCCTCCACCAGGCTAGGTGACAG